ATATATATATATATATATATATATATATATATATATATATATATATATATATAATATCTTTAATTTTTGATGGTGTATACATAAAAAGTTTTCTTTTGTACTTGCTTATCTCTAAAGTTTTCTTTTCAGAGCTTTTCTTATTATCCATCTAAAGAAACATAAAAATAAGTGTATTTACAATGTGTAATTATGTATATATATAAAGTTTGTTTCCAGACAAATAACTACTATACTTTTATAATTTTTCAAAGCACAATAGTGGGGGCCAGTAAAAACTATGGATTTTGTATTGTGTTGCCACAAATGTTATAATTTGACACAAAACACATTCGTTATTTTTGTTGGCCACAACTGGAACAACACAACAACCAGTTCTGGCCACTCTATAGCCGAAAATAGAGCATTATATTAATACATGATCTTTCGACAACTATTATTTTTTGTTTAATAGAAATCAAATACGGCGTTATGCATATTGAGACTAACTTTTAGACTTGCCGATTATAGAAACATTTACTCACAATCATGTCTCTTATATAATAATTCTAACGTTTATTTCATCTCGTATCCTTAACATTTTGAACAAGAAAATGCAGCAGTTCGTATATACATTCGGTTATAAATATTTAGTTAAAGAAGAAAGAAAATTCTACATTCGTTAGCGAGAAACATGACCAATAGAAATGCTGTAAAAACAAAATATTGTCACTTACGTAAAGAAAACACATGAATCATAGATTAAATAATTTGAAAGATTCCTTAAACTGGTCACAAATGGAGCACCGACCCTATATCGGCGCATGGCGATTGGGAGAACAACGCACTATTACTTAAATCGTTGTGCTCTTACATTTTGCCGCACCGCGCCAAGACGAGATGTAGAAGCGCAGCGATATAAATATAGGGTGCGTTGTTCTTCCAATCGCTACGCGTCAATATATTATTGGGTCGCGTTGTGACTCGAGCGGTCCGTCCTCTACCATTATTCAGCACATGCTTTTTCTTAATTTTTTATTAATTAATTTCTCGATTATGAATATTGCAAAACGATATAGGACTTTTATGTTTACCTTGATCTGCTCTATGTTCTCACGAGAGCTTCGTAAATTGTTCTAGGACAACGTATATATGGTATATTGGTCAAGTATATACATTCACAGTATTCTAAGAATTATCAGGATAAAATATCTATTTAGAAAATTTTATGCAATTATCTTCTAAACTTTAAATTACTTGAAATTTAAATTTTGCTTTACAATCACATTTTTTTATGAATAATTGACAGGCCTAGTTATCACACATATAAATATTTGCTCACTTATACTCATATTTTAATTATGCAACATTGTGTTATGTACAAGACGCTGATAATTTCGCTTATCTAAACTTAGTATCTGATAGCAATAGATCATAAAAACAGAAGATATTTCAAGCCACTTATGAAGATATTTCAAGTTTTTACTTGCAATTATTTTATCTTATGTCAGATAGTATAAGAAAAAATGTATATATGTATATATACAGGGTGACTTATTTTAAATGCTCACCTAAAATATTTCGAAAATGAAGGAAAAAACGAAAAATGTTTTCGACAGATGTTCTAAGATTTCTAAAGGTAAAATAAAATAGTAATATATATTTAACTTTGCAATGACCTTGAAAACTTTTGCAAAGGTCAAATTTACTTCCTTAAATGTAATTATATGTTGCGTATAAAAGTATTGCAAATAATTGAAAAGTCGATACCTTCTAAGATATTTTATATTTTATCCTGATACTTTTTTCAAATATTTCATATATTGTACTAAAAAGTATCATAAATAAAATATAAAATAATTGGAATATATCCACTTTTTGATGATTTTACCCCAGTACTTTTATACACAGAATGACCAGATAAATCAATTTATGTTTAAAAAACCATATAAGTCTACTTAAAAAATTTATCTTGATAGTGTTTTTCAAAACCATTCTAAGGCTGAATAAGTATTATCACCTTTACTCCTCTCAAAATCTTAGAATTTTTGTTCAGAATATTTATATTTTTCTTAATGTCTGGAATATTTTAAGTGAACATTTATGGATCATATTGTACATGTATAATTACATATAATAATTATAATATACTGAAATATTTTATCAATAACCATATGATACCAAAATCCATATGTTCAACATTTACTATATATATATATATATATATATATATATATATATATATATATATATTTGGACTTTATTTAATATATAATGCTGAAAATACTATTAATCTAAGAGTATCTTTTTTACAAAGCAATATGTAATTCTGTAAACACAACTTAAAAATTCTTTCGTATCATAAATTTCTTTAATATGATTCTGTGCATATATCAGTTTCATAATTTCTATGCTGAAAGATTCTATAGGTTTGATTTTTTAACTAGGTTGTCTCTGTTTTTAGTAAAACCAGTACATAAGTATTGAATAAAAAGGAACAAAGGTTTAATGCAGTAAAACGAGTATATTTGTCATTAAATTATGATTATCTCGTATATCGAAGGATAAGAGCTATTTAAATATATCAGTTTAATACGCAACAATCTGTTACACTATCGACAATTAGAAAATCGTAATCTCATTTAATATTTTACCTGCTGGATGGTCTACTCTCCTCCATGTCCTTGTTAGACTTTGTCTCGCGCTCATCTTTGGGCGTCTTATGCTGCGTTATCCTCATACCACCTGCCTTTACTAAAAAAAAAAAATAGAATAATGCAAGTAATACGACGCAACATTAAAAGTCATTTAGACGAAAATTTGACCTTGAAATCGCGATCGACAGATACATATGGAAGATTTTAATATCATAAATATGTTACATTCATATTATTCACATATTTGGGAAAAGAAAATGCAATAAAATCACTAACCTGCTGGCGGATGTCCGCCTTTCAACTTGCATTCGTCCACTTCGCTCGACATATCTATTGACTTTTGCGTCTAATGAAACGTCACACGTAATCCAGATCCTGTGCAACGCGTTGCAATATGTTCTTACTTCTGTTTTGCTACTCGTCACTGATGTTGCGCGCACTGTGTATATCCTCTCTTTGCTTTCCACTACTTCATTCAACTCTTACGTTATAACAGGTGCGTTCAGAAAATATGATGGTGGGCATTATTGAGGCTACGTTCCGATATTCACTATCGAATGGAAAATCTACAGTATATGTAAGTCCAGGGTAGTAATCATGAATCTTTTACGTGAACTTCATTTTCATTTTTCACTTTTTACTGTAAGTTATTTCAGGGTGGGACCCGATTGACCACGATACGATTAGACACAGATTGTAATGATTGGTTCGACTTAATAATTCACTAGATAATTCTTTTCATCGATTGGTTGTGTTCAATCGTACCGTGGCCAATCGGGACGCTCCCGTTATTTCACATGAAAAGTGAACAATGAAAATGTGGAAAGCAATATTTATGTAATATAAATTATTAAAATGTAATTACAGTATACGCAATGTAATACATAACACATTAATAAACATTATACAACTTAAATTTATAGTTATAATATAATAATACAATATGAGTAAATTTAATAAATGAGACGAACGTTAACCGTGAAAGGTAAATTCTCAAAACGTGAAATATTTCACGTGAACTTTCAGTTTGCTCGTACATGTCCTTCTTTACATGTAAATTGTGTAAGTTTCCATAAAAATTTTTAAGCATCAAGCGATGTGGTTTAAATGTGAAAAATAATGTAATACTATACTCGTATATTATGTACAAAGTGAGTAGAATTTCTTATAGTAACTTTAATTTTTATGGTTATACGACAATTGGCATTTGACATAAGAATTCTACGTCCATTAAAAATGAACAACGAAAGCCAATTGAAATGTGATGACGTATAGGCAGTGAAAGCATACCGACGAAGTTTGCAAAGTTAAGATATGTATGCATAAGAAAGTTAAAGTGTAATATAAATTGTATGCAGTAAGTAAAATGTAAGTTTATTTTAAGTATTTATTGCATGTATTTTATGTATTATTTTATATGAAATATATATTTTCTACAGATTTATAATTTTAATATTAATAGAATATTTTATCTTTTCATAATTTATCCTAAAGTAATCTAGACAAGCAGATTTATAAAATATATATATTTACAAAATATTTATATTCAAATAAGATTTATTTGAATATTTTATGAATATTTACTAAAATGTTTCATAAATATGTTTACAAATATATTTACAAAATATTTTTGTGACCTTAGATTCAATAGATAAAAAATATTTATATATCTCTTAAATATTATAAAAATCCCACACAGCACGTGATATCCCTTATAGAAATACCATACTAAGAATCATTGATAATTACTTATTTTCAGTATTAAAAATACTGGATAATAAGTAATTATCAATGATTCTTAGTATGATATTTCTATAAGGGATTATAGAAATATTGCGGAGATATTGCAATATAGTAGTAATATTATATATCACAGTGACATATTACAGAAATATTACTGAAATTTTGCACCTTTACATATTTTATTGAAATATTACAGAAATATTATTGCAACACCCTTATAGAAATATCATACTAATATAATATAATACCCAGCAAACACAAAATGTAACTGCAACGTAATACAGGAGTAACACGTAATATAACGAATGTTATATTTAATTAATGTCGAGGTTATATATCTTCATTTTATTAACGCAATATAACATGTAAATGAAATTGTTATATTGTTAGTTACTTTCTGGTTATAAGAAAATTACATTAATGTAACTTGGATGTAACATGTTACACAAGAAATGTTACATTTATGTAATTTTGATGTAATGTTACAATTTTCATATGCAATATATAACTATTTTAACATAGTTACATTGCATTGTTATATGCCACTTATTGTTAATTGTACAGAATTAATTTGTAATTAAAAGCCGGTAAGTAAATTGATGATAAAACAAGTAGATAAATTTTGAATATTATATTTCTTATATCAGGATTAAATTGATTAAGATATCCTTTAAGAGGATAAGGATTTAAACTTTTGAATTACGCGGTCTATTGTAGCTGAACCAACATTCATCCAGATAACGGGTGCGTTCGGGGAGCACGCTACCATCGTTACCGCGTTGTTCTATCTTTATCGCTCCTTAGATATACAACAAGGATAGAATGACACGGTAGCACTAATAGCAAGCTCCCCGAACACATCTAACGTGACATGTAATAATGCGGTTTACATTCTTCTCCCTCATGGTTTTGTGACACGTGAATAAAATAATATAGAAACGATTGTTATAATTTCAGGTAATTTGTTCTTATTTAATAAGTATAATTTATACTAAATAATTCTAAAATTATTGTTGTACATG